CCCCAAAACCCCAAAACCCCAAAACCCCAGATAGTTTATAATATATTGATACCATATTTAGATAAAATACCAAATTGCTACCTGAAGACCTTGAAATGGTCGTATAATAGAATCAAAGATAGGGATATCCTTAAGCAATTAATATTTCTGACTTACAGAGGCTAGGACAACTTCTCAAGCATCATTGGGTCTATTTCTACAATATTTGTCATGATAGTATTGTTCTGCTACAGCATCATCCTGCTAAAGTCAATATTCAGCCGGAGCGATGTGAGCTGGAACCAGAACACGATTCAGATAGACTTGGCAGAAGACAACTCCACCCTCGTTTGGAAAGAAGGCCCGAAGCTGAAGACAATGGGGAGCGGGGTCTAAACGGTGGTCTTGGAGGGGATTAGGGGTTAAAGAGAGGTGATAGCTTGGAATGTGATGAGTTTTGCTGTACTAGATAGCTCATATGTGCAGGACCAGTTGATTTCTGGAACCTTTGTTTACAGAGAATACAGCAAAGAATATTTTATTATAAGCAATTATTTATTTCCAGATAAGATTAATATGAATTAAACATATTTGGTCTCTGACAAATTGCTATTAAACAAATTATCATACTCTTTTAAAACTTGATTTCCCAATTAACTCTCAAGCATTTCCTCTGTTGACGTCTACTTTGGGCACTTGTCCAAACCTTACTCTGAGAATGAAAATAAATAAAATATGTAGAAGAGAATGGAACCTAATCAGCATGAATGCTTTTGACTAGAGGCATAACAAAGAGATCCTCATCAGAAATTTTACTACACAGGCTAGCGATGGAATTACGAACACCACTACATTGAAATCTCAATGGGAGGTTCTTCTCGCTCAAAAATCTGCGACTTTTTGAGATACAGAGGATTCTGGGCGTATCCTCGGAGACGACTGAGAGAATAGCTTCGATATTACTTGTAATATTTTAGATGGTATATTTTGTTCGGTATACTTATATGAGGGAACAAGAGAGATTCCTTTCTGACCTAAATTTTCTGGTTTAGGTTTATACGGAAGTAGAGATCTTGAAGCTTCAAGCTCTGAAATTAAGCTTCAATTCTCTAGTTGAAATTTGGTTAATGGTCTAAACTGTATCTCTGAAGATAAAATTACTCCTGTAATCGAAGCTCGATTGTTGAAATCCATGTTCTGAACAGATATGTAGACCTTAATGACATCGGTAATCCCATCAAGAGTTACTATGATAGAGTTTACGATATCAATTAATAATTCTTTATAGAAGGTGGACTGCATCTTCTGCAGTTGGAATATTATGTATTAGAATCTAGATATTTATTATTTACTTTGAATTGAGGTTCCCACTAACCCAGACATATTGAGTAAAGCTTGGCTCACTACCTTAAAAGCTTGTAAAAGAAATAAGAAGAGCATCCATAGTGAGTAGGGTTTCATAGAGAACCCAGAATAAGTATGAGGATAACAGCTAAACCTATAAGGACAGATGTACCTCAGTGAAGGACTTGATAGTAAGAGGATATTAGAGACAACTCAAAAACAAGATAGCAGACAGGACTTACTAGCCTCACATCCACATTATCTTGGCCTTTCAGGAAATACAAGTTAGCTAAAGTTCTTAAAAAGGAAAAAGTTGGTGGCTATTCTGGTATATCAGTTTTGACAACAATAAGTGGAAGAAAATCAAATTATAACTAAAGAAGCATGAAGTTGTGCTGGAAGACTCATTCTTCCCAACATTTTGGTCGCCAGACCCTCTCTATTTCTACAGTCTCGAGGACTTTGACCTCATTGAAACTCAATTTAGTAATAACTTCAAGGGAATAGTAGATATCGAAATTACAAGAGACACCCAAGTTGACCAGCACAGAAGAAAACTGCTGGGTTTTAGAAGTCACAGGTATTCTTGGAGGCCTCTTCAAGATATTCGAGTTGGGTTTCGGAATGCTCCTTGGACTCTACTCTTAGTATATGTTCAAATGTCAGATCTTCAAAGACATTCAGAGATATGAACAAAAGTTTAAAGCAATGGAGAGGAGCATCAAGTATTTAGAAGAAGAGATTAAATACAATAATCAACAAGAAGATGAATCTTCAGATGAACAAGAAGAGAATAAAGAAGAATCTAAAGAACTCAGAAACTTTGATGACTTGAACGAGTCTAGAGGAAGATTAATGGAGTTTTAAATGCTTGAACGAAGGGGGTAAATTATTAGATCCTAAACTAGAAAGTAAAGCAACTTGTAAGTTCATTCTCTTAAATTTACTATTCCTTCCTCTATAGCTCAACCAGCAGATCTTGAGCGAAGACATAAAAATGCATTTCTATTTAAAACCCTACAAAAAGACTTAAACCTCCAAAGAGACACACCTGCAACCTTCTCTCCCTCTAAGGATGTTGATAAGTCTCGATTCACAACAATGTTAAAAAAAATCAAAAAATAGATGAAGAGATTGAAAAATTCGGGAACTCTCTGGACTGCCTGAACATCACTTACTCCCTTAAAACCTTACAAATCCAGATGAACTACCTGCTGCTCCAGTACCCTGACTACTGCGCTGCTCTTAAAAAGGATCCGGCGCTGGACATAAACTTCTGCCAAATCTACCCACCGAAATCCAAAGTTAGTGGGACTTTGGGGTTTAAGAGTCCATATTCTGGTCCCAAAGTTCATCCACCTTTAGCTTCTGAGCCGCCTTTGGAGCAGATTAACTAAGCTCCGCTTTTGAAGAGGAATCTGGGCTCAGCCAGAATGCTTGCATATCATATGAGAAGTAATAGCAAGGGAAGAATAGGTGAGAATTAATCTAGCATGCTTCAGTGAGTTTTTAGATAACTAGAAGTTCGAACTAATATTAGAACGCATAGTTGTGGTGAGGTGGATATTGGAGCAGAATTAATAAATTTACCAAATTATTACTATAAGATTCTGAAATGACCCTATGATAGATTCAAGGACAAAAATATCTTTAAACAGTCGATATCTCGTTCCTAGAGAGGAGAATATAATTTCTCAAGCATCACTGAGGTATCTCGACTATTTTAGTTATAATAATCTATCCACTCTTAATTAAAATGTCTGTTTTTACAAACTAAAAGGCATCAGTTTGGATTATAACATCCAGGCTTCAGTCATGTTCGGATCTCTGCAAACTAAATACCCACAAAAATTACAAAAAATGTTAAATTCTATTCAAGCATGATGTAGAAAGACGGGGTTTTGGGGTTTTGGGGTTTTGGGG